ATGAATGGCATACCTGGTGCCCAAAGATCTAACAGCTGGTGGATGACAAATCCTACAAGCCCTGCATATGTCAGAAGCATATCAACTTCATAAAGGAGATCACGGGTGGCAAAGCGAAGTCTGACAAGAACCTGATGGGTGGTAGAAACTCGAAGCCCTGAGTGAGCTGACCCAGTGCCAGCCAACAGCAAGTGATGTGTGGCAGATTAAATGCCTACGTTAGGTAGCAAAACGCGATGAGAGGTATGAAACTTGAAAACAAGGATGGTTCATAGAGCCAGACCTACAACGAAATACAATATATGATAATATATGTGATGGGCGACCAGCCCCCTTAGCCCTACTACCAAAAGAATGGTTTGCAGAACAAGACCTTACAAATTGGTAAACAAACACCCTGCTTGCGAGAAGAATAAGCCGTGATCGGATACTTTGAGTCCCTTCTTCAAAATGTGTGACGATGATTCCCCAAGCACCAAACTTTCGAAAAGTACGATTACTTTCCTACAGCCCCCAAACGAGCAGTTTGGATGCAAAACCCGCAACTTCAAACAAAATGATGGGTTTCAACCTTTAAACTCGAAGATGATCGGCACCAAAATTCGCAAACATCCCAAATGCTGATGAGGGATGATGAGTGGCATATCCGGTACCCCGAACCTTGGCAATAGCTACTGGCAGCCTGAACTAGCTCATAAGCATTTGCATTTCAAAACGAGATGATGGGTGGAAAACCCAACATCCGAAACCTAACAAAAGCATTGTGGGTGGCCAACAGTGTCAAGTGTAGAACGAGTGGTTGGGTGCCAGCCAATACGGAACAATGTGCCGCAAATTACAAACATGAAAAGATCATACGGATGATATTGTGTAATGCGAAGACCGAAAATTTGGAAAGAGTGATAAAGCGTAGACCTTGATCCGAAAATGATATGACGAGCGGCAATCCCGAATATTCTGACAAGAGGATTGGACCCCCTAAACCCCAAACCTTCACTCTACTGCTTGACTGGGTCTATCGCCTAGCAGCCTACCATGTACTGAAAGAGCTTAGGCACCAAAATCAGTGCTAGACGGGGCTGCTATTTCTTTAATACATGATGGAATTCCTGGTTCTGGCAAACAAATCAGTCGATATATCTGGTCGACCATCCATGTATGTACGTGCAGGAGCATCTGGACCTTTTGGAGAACTCGTCGCCCCCACACAAGACCAGTGCTTACTTACAAGTGGCGATACTACCTGTTACTGCTTCAAATCTTTTGTTTCGATGCACAAACACGGGCCAGTATTCCGACGCAAACTATAATCCTAGCATTAGTGGCAATAGAAATACGCAGTAATAGTAGTAATCGTTGTACTAGCAATACTCGTCGTAGTAGTAGTAGTAGTAGTAGTAGTGGTCGTTCTAGTAGTACGAGTAGTACGAGCAATACGAGTAGTATTCGTAGTATTAGTAGTATTAGTAGTACCAGTAGTACTAATCTAGCAGTACTAGTAGCAGGTCGTAACTGCAGTAGAATCAGGTCGCAGGGGAGTGCGCTTTATGATACACCCGCGATTGTTACAGTGACTGCAGACCCTCTTCATAAACCAATTTAGATTAACATACCTGCTTTCGTACAATTCCCTGTCGGCTTTTTGATCTTGTCCTTTTATGGGTTTTTTTAAGCCAGTATTTATGTAGCGTTTTGTCCTTCAATTGGTTCTCTTCTTCGACACTCTGGTAGAACAGGACATCTTTAAAATTGGTGCTTCTCTTCAAGGCACACCACAACCACTTTCGAGTTACTAAGTGCGACTTCCCACCACTGGTCTATAACGATCTTACCATGAATAGAAGCCCCTTCTGCAGAATGGCAAGTGGTGCAGTAGTCGTTTCTGAAATGTTTATCTAAGGTAGCTAAGTCCGGTGTATACTGCTGTCTTGATTCAGCATTATCTAGTGTAACTATGTTCCGGGATATGCTTGCGATCTTAAACCTGTAGTTAACATCGAACTTGACATTGTTCGTTTTGCTGTATAATCTGCAGATGAGAACCTCGCCCACTTCATACTTATCTGTTTTACCTAAGCTGTTTCTTATTGCGATTGAGATTGTTAGGCACCCATATTAGTATAGGCGATGTTCTTCTGAGATTCCGTGATGTCATTTGTCATGCTAAAAGTACTTACGAACAAACTCAGATAAACACATTTTTGAAGCCACATGTCGTTATACATCATTTCTATGATTTTTCTGTTGGCGTCCGCTGTAAGTGCTCGTTGTGACCCCAGTCTCTCACAGATGGTAAGCATAAGATTACACTTGAAGATCTGATTAATGCATTCTTCTGCGTGTTCATCGGGCTTCCTTGTGTTAGTTAGATCTTCAATTGGGGGTAGCTGTTTTACATCACCCGCTCCGATTATGATGTTGTTCAGGTTTCGTTTATCAAACTCTCTGATCCTGTTTAGGGTATGTGTGCGATTCATAGATCTCGTCAAAAACTATACAAGTATAACTGCTATGATCAAACTCGGGCAGCTCCTTTCCAGCCCCCCTCGGGTATGGCGAAAACTTGTTAGTAGTGACCGCATCATGATCAGTATATTGTGATAAATTGTTCTGTGGCACTACAGGCGGAGTATTGTGGCCCAACTCGCTGAAATGCTTTGCTATAGGCGACTTGCCACCATCTGCATACTTAGATCGAATCATCATAGGGTTATGTGTTACTGATCTTTTGCCATGCTTTCTGTGTTCCACTGGTTTTCTATGCGTCAGGTCTCGTTATTAAATACGGGTATTGGGATCAATTCGTTCCGTTTGGGTTTCCACCGCTCCGTGGGTTACGTTATGTTTTGCTCTTTTCGTGTCTCCACCCGCCGATGCGTTCATTGAACTCAATTAGGTTCTTGGCTCTTCTCAGATGCTCTTTTTCCATGACGAAGGCATTTGTTTGACACTCCAGGCTCCTGTATGATCTTTTGTTAGCTTGGTGTAGTCGGTGTGCCTTTTACAATTATGGTGGCGTAACAACAACTCTTTGATGTATGCATTGTAGGAACCAGCTCATCATACATACCCGAGGTTCTGTTAATCTTTGGGCCGTTCTAGTTTGAGAATACAACGCTCCATAGAACCACGGTTCAGTTCGAGAGACCCGCTGCTGTGCCGTGTGGTTCGAGGATTATTTAGGGTGTGTTCGCATTGGAGCGTCTGGCAGGAAACTCAGCTGACCCTCTGGGCTCTGTCTCGGGAGGTGGGGACGGCTTGGAGGGAAAGCAGTGGTCATGCCTTCCGAGGGAATAGGTAGCTTCATATTGGCATTGGCTTGACTGATGTTTGTGGAGACTCGGAGATGTCCTGCATCGAGCTAGAGCCTCCGACATCCAAGCACGTCAGCGATTGTACTGTGTAGGATGTGGGAGGACAGCTCGAAACCATGGTGCTAAGCCTTATTAAGTGTGGCTTTTCATTGAACTGCAGGTTAAAGATTGCACGCACCGGAAAGGTCCCAACTTGAGTAAGAGGGTGAATCAGCGTCTTCACAAGCCAGGAGCCACACATACTCCAAAGCTGCGCAAAGCATCCCGACGTTGGGTTCTCTCAGTATGTACAAAAATTGAACCGTTTGTGGAAGCAACCCCGGCCGCAGCCGGGCCAGGTGTCCACAGCCTTGCCCGCTGCGTCAAAGGCCGGAGGCACTTGTGTCTTTTTATGTGGTGTCGCTAGTGTCTGCAGTTTCCCTTCTCCTGCCCCCGAACAGGCACTTCGCCCGAGACATCGAAGCAAGCAAACCGGCACAAGCGACGACAGAAAGAAGGACACAAACGAGTCCCAAAAAGACACAACTGACACCAAAATCAAGACTCAAGCGATCCTTCCAGGGGGTCCTTGGAGGAGTGATCGGGTTGAACCGTGCACGCGTCATGTACGTGTCAGAAGGATGCGCAGAAGCCCGAAGCTTCTGGACATGTGAATGAGGGAGCTTGGCCAGGCAGCGAACTGCCTTGGAGGAGGCGTGAGTTTCGACGACCTCCTCTGGGCCAGGTGGGCTTCGGGTGCTTTGAAGGCGGGAAGGCGGCTATTAAGGTCTTATCCGGTGTTCTAGGCTTTGGGGGAGTCATTCTGAGGGCCCTCCCGTTCCGTTAGAAACACGTCGCATGCCGTACCGGACCATTCGCCGAAGACACCCGCACTGTGACCGTGGCCTGCTGCTTTCTTTTGTTGAGTTGTGGGGAGAAAAGATACAGAAGCATCAGCCAGAGGCCTTGCGAAGTATGTTCTTGTCGTGCCAGGTGCCTTTTCGACAGCCGCGCGGTGTCGCTAGAAATCAAGGCGGCGCTGCTGCCTGCACGGATGCTGAATCACGGTGAGTAGTGCCGAAGGCAGCTGGCCCACACATCGCCGGTGTGTTCAAGCCTCAGCCTAATTGCAGGTGAAGGGCGGGTAGCATGCGAGAATTAGTCGCATGGCATCAGCTGGGACAGGCAATGATGATCGATGTGGCCAGTAGCGTTTGGTTTTGGCTTAGCCGAAGTCTGGAGAGAAATGGTCCCAACTGCTGGACTTAATGCATGCAAGCTTGTAGTGTTCACATGGAATGTTGCCCCCAGGACCAAACAATTGTTAATTAAAGTCAACCAAAGGCACAGCCAGGTTCGGTTTCTGCCCGCTCAGGCAGTTTCCTTCCCGTGTCGTCTGCCTCGCCCCTGAGGCCTGAGCGGAGCCGAGCCGAGAAGCCGAGAACTCCCAATTTCCATGGCAGTCCCGAGCCCAGGTGGACCTGCTCAACCACAGCTCCTCAGGAGCGCCACTCTTATTGATGCGCGATGATGCGTGAAAGTACAGCGATGTGTTCAGTGACGGCCAGAATCCACCCCTACTCTGCTGAATCTTCCGCTCTCATTTTGATGGCTCGCATGCTGTCAGAAACCCTAGGACTAGAATTCCCTCAAGGCCGTTAATCATCAGCGGGAAAGCCCAGGCCTGTGCACCGCCTTACTTCGACAACCAGCGGCGCGCGCTGGTCGCGACATCCCCAGATCATGGCTCTTGTGCAGTTTGGGTTCAGGCAGGTTTCTGGAATGTGGTGCACTCCCATGTCTGATGTGTGGCGGTCGGGTTGATGGTTGATGTAGACTTTGCGGCGTTGCGACAGGTGGGGGTCTGCCGGCCTCATGTGTTCCGAGGTCGAGCTGGCAGCACCGGTTCGCAGGGGTTCAGAGGTGCGAGAACTGACCGGGAGGGTCTATTCTCAGACGGGGGCGAAGACTTCTGAGCTCGGTGGCACAGCTGAACCAATGAAGGTGCAGAGTTTCCGGACAGACTTGAAGTTAAGGTTACCTGCGAGGAAGAGCACCTCTAAACAGCCAGGAAAGGCATTCTTTCCACTGTCTACTGGTCCAAACCATCAAAGCTCCGAGCCAACAGTGCCTTTCACCGTTTGGCATTCTGAAGGACGGGACCAGAGGAGAGAACGGCAACCAAAACCTAGAATCCCCTAAGCCTTTCATATCCTTTCACATCCTTCACCTCTTGGCTCTTGGCAGGTCTGCCTTTCCTATGGCCCTCTGCAGAGCTGGGTGCCGTCCCTATCCGCTGTGGGGGAGGTCCTTCGGAAGTTCCGAAGAAGAAAAGCCGGCTGCTTCGCCCGAAGCCGAGGAGCTCCTCTTCTACTACGGCTTCTGCCCAGAGGCCAGCCCTGGGGATGTTCGAAGGAAGAGCGGTGATCCCTCTGAAAAAATCCTCTCTTTGTGTAGGCCAACCCCCACGATCGGTTTATCATCAACGTAGACCTGCCCGATGACGAAGGCATCGCTGAGAAGGAGGCCGGCATGCACACCGTAATCCGTAAAGCAGGGGCTTTCCGGACTTTTCCCCGGCTTGGGGTCGCAGGTGGTGTTGCAACTGCAGGGCATCCCCACCGAGTTGGCCTTGCGACCCGGCCCTGTCCAGGCTGGGCTTGGGTTCGCAGTTCGCAGAGAAGGGTCGCTACAAGTAGGATCCCGCGCTCTCTCTGCCAGGTCGCCGAGTCCTGGGCTTCCCTGGGCACCTTGCCTCCCCAGCTGCTGAGGTGAGGATTCTGGGCGCTTTGAAATGGCCGGGTGCAAGGGGAACCTTGGCTTTCGAGGAGGGCTTGCCCTCGTTGGAGTCACCTGAGCTCAATCCCAAAGCGCCCTTCCACCCCTTTCTTCTGCCCGGCTATAGGCTGCACTGTACAGGGTCAGAGCTCTGCCCCAAACCGCAGTTTCGGCTTTGCTACTTCGATTTTGGTACAGCCTCGCTTGGAAGCTCCGGCTTCGAAGAACGGCCTTCAGGTGTTTTCGCGTGCTGCTGGGGGAGATTCATTGCCTGGATGTCGACGCTGCCCCTGGAGATGGCCTGCCCTCTTTCTGATTTGTGCTGGGATTTTGTAGTGTGGGGTCCAGTAGAGCAGACTGTCGCAGGGGCGATGTTGGAGCTGGACCTACAATGCTTGGAGGCGATCGAGGCCAGAACCCCAGTCTCGGTGAAGCTGTCGCAATGCATCTCGGACTCAGAGGACCTGCTGGTCAGCTTGCTGGAGCCGTTGCTGACAGCAGTGCCAGGCGCTTCTTGCAGGGTCCGGGTATGTCCGGGTCTTGTCGCTGAGCCCGCAACTGTGACGAGACTCTTCAGAAAGAGGCACAGCGCTCAGGAGAAGCTGCAGGCGGTGCCCCCGAGCCAAAGCTCCCACGCCTTCCCGCAAAATGTGCCTCAACACCGGTGCCTTAAATCTCTTCTTCAGGAGGAGGGGAGCCACCCTTCTGGTAACCCGGATGCATCGCGCTAGAGTACAGAGGGCAGAGGCTTTTCAGATTTCATATTTTTCCGGCAGGGAAGCTTTTGAGGCTGAGGTTCACACAGTGGCTCAACAAAGCGCGTACAAGTATGACGCAATCCATGGCCTAGACCCTGCTCCGGTGCTCAAAGCCCTCTTCTGAAAGAAAGGCGAGAAATGCAGGATCGGCATCGAAGACCGAACCTCTTAGGCTTGCGGTTCAATAGTGTTTGACGAGGTGGCCTCTGTATGGCCATCGGATCCAGGCACCGACTCGCTTTTATCAGAGGGTACGTGCTTGACTCTTGGCTTGCCCACTCTCTAGAAAACAGCGGTGCTTCAGTTGCAGTCATACTACGCCACTGTGCACACGTGTTCTCCTAGTTGACCGATTGCTGCCATTTGTCAGACTCACTACGGGAGCTAATGCTGGATTCACAGTGACCGGTGCTTGCAGAGCGGGTGGAACGCTGGCATCCTTTTCCCAAAAGCAACTCGCCCTAGGTGTTTCAAGGGCCAACCCGCAAGACAAACATGTGCACACGTATCTCGCACCGCCCACAACCTTTCTCTTGCTTCCTCAGTCTTGCCCTGACGAACTTTGAGCCCTGACCTGCCTCCCCGCACGCGCATCCCCTAAGAAACCCCCCGATCTACCGATTTTTTCAGCGGAGGCCTTCCGTAGCGCTCAGCGGAGGCTCCTCGAAGCAAACCTGGAAGACCTCCGGGCTCTCCGGGCCAGGCGCCGACTTGGGGAAAAACACTACTTAGACTTCAGCATCCTCGCTTCAGCTCTCTACCGGGTGGTATCTCTGTGTGTTGTGATGTGTACTATTCTGTGCTGATTCATCTACCCCTTGGAGATCTGCTTGCATGTTTGTTGTCGTGGGTTCGTTTGCTTTCTTGCTGCTTGCTGATGCTGCTTGCTGATGCTGCTGCTGCTGCTGCTGCTGCTGCTGCGGCTGCGGCTGCGGCTGCCGCTGCCGCTGCCGCTGCCGCTGCCGCCTCTGCTGCTGCTGCTGCTGCTGCTGCTGCTGTTGCTGTTGCTGTTGCTGTTGCTGTTGCTGTTGTTGCTGCTGTTGTTGTTGTTGTCGTTGTGGCTGTCAGTGCAGTGCTGCTGCAGAAACACATGCAGCTGCATAAGTAATTCGTAGTCGTCGTAGTTGCACCCGAACCTCTCATCCCCCATCACCCCTCAATCTACTTTCACCCCCCCTGACCTACCCTAAACCCTAAACCCTGAACCCTAAACCCTAAACCACGAAATTCCGAGAAGCCGTACACTCAAACTGTAGTCCCAGGGCCCAGGCACGGCCCGTCTCTGAACCTCCTTTCTCGGAGCAGAGCTCCTCCGTAGGTTTTAGGGTTTAGGGTTCAGGGTTTAGGGTGTAGGGTTCAGGGTTCAGGGTTTAGGGCCGTTTAGGGTTCAGGGTTTAGGGTTTAGGGTTCAGGGTTTAGGGTTTTAGGATTTAGTGTTTAGGGTTCAGGGTTTAGGGTTTAGGGCTTAGTGAGATGTTTGCAAGGTGGAAGGTGTAAGGCTTCAACGTTTATGTGGGTACAGTTCCCCATGCAATGACATAGAGGTCACGGTTTAGGGTTTAGGGTTTAGGGTTTTGTCTAGTATGTAACATGTATGTTAGAATGCTTTTGAAAGCTGGTGCAGGACTTCCAGGGGGTTCTCGCAGGGCTTCCATTGTAGTATGTTTAACGACGGCTTGTACGACCTTGAGGCGAGTTGAAGGTGTGCAGCCGAAGACCGAACACGCGTACGTCCGCTACCATGCGAGGAGGGAGCTCTACGATGAAGTAGCAGGATGTTATGACTCTTTTCCGGAATGGCTCAGTGTCGAGCCAATGAGTTGTCGTTCTGAGTGATCCCACCACCAGAACTTCATGCAAAGCAAAACTGACGAGGCCGCCAGGCGTCAACAAATATAGACCTTGAAACACTCAGCATCCCAAAATCCAAATACCCCGGAATCCCTTAAACCCTAAACCCTAAATTTTAGAGCCCTGATTCCCGAGACTCTACAGCCTCAAAACCTGAATTCCCAAACCCTCAGAAATGCCTCCACATCGGTGGCTTGCGGCAGAATGCTGCTGACCTGAATTGGCCATCCAGACGAACGGATAACCGTTCCTTCAGTCAGGGTTAAGGGTTTAGGGTTCAGCTCCTGGGGAGAAGTAGGGCACGACAGTGGGCTACTGCATAAGCCTTACTCCATAAATCAACGCCAATACTCTGGTATTTGGGTTTAATAAGGTTGCTATTACTAATATTAGTACATACTATTTCTCGGATAGTATCAAAAACCTTCTATCATCCGACATGTCTTAGCCTGTTGCACAGGCTGCGGCTGTAAGCGGGGCTTGCATGTACACCCCCCCCCCCACCATCAAACCTAAACCCTAAGCCCGAAACCCTAAACCCCAAACCCTAAGCCCCAAACCCTAAACCCTAAACCCTAAGCCCTAGAAGAAGAGCACTAAAGTATGGCACTCCAGAACCCAGTACCCTCAAAAGCCAGGCTCAGGGGCCCTCCCGGCTTCAAAGCGACCACATCCCCCCAAAAAAAGGAGCCGGAGACTCCAATATCCCTTAATTAAGGAATACATATATATATATATGTATATATATATATATTCCTTAATTAAGGAATATATATCGCAATTTAGGGTTTAGGGTTTAGGGATTAGGGTTTAGGATCTGGGTGTAGGGTTTAGGATCCCTTAACAAGGAATATACCTTAAATTATAATAGGAACCCTAATAAGATTTAAGGTATATTGGAGTCTTTGGGGAGCCCTCAAAGGAAGCCTTCATCCCCTTCAAAGCCCCGCAATGAGCAACCCAGAGACGAAAGTTTGACTGGAACCCCGGCTGGAACCCCCCAAACTCGCCTCAGAAAAGAATCCCTGATCACTAAACCCGAATGTAGGAAGCTGATTAAGAAACCTAGGGCTCTTAATATGAATCCTACTATATTGGGGTTATAGGGCCAGGGTTTCTTAATCAGGTTCCTTCATTATAATATCCCTGAACCCGAAGCCCCAAAGTAAACCCCCAAAAAAGTTGGAAACCAGATGAAGGACAGATAGTGCTGGGATTCGCCATAGATTCCTCCTCAGGATGGAGGCTATTGGGCTTCCCAACTTGCGTGCTTCTACGATAATCCCCAAATAACCCTAAACCCTAAACCTTGGGTCGCCCGGCCATAGGACATTCATCCAGCAGCCTGGAGGCAAAGAGGTTTCATTGTCTCGGCAATCGGGGAATACGGAAGCCATCTAAGATGAGACCTGGATTTAGGGCTTAGGGTTTAGGGCTTTGGGGTTTAGGGTTTAGGGTTTTGGGGTTTAGGGTTTGAAGTTTGTAGAGTGGCGTTGGTGCATATGGGGTTCGCTGTAGAGCTAGCACATATGGGGTGCATGGCGTCGGGGAAACCTGTATCTTGCTGTGCATACTCATGCCCTTAACCCCCAAACCCGAACACCCCAAAACCCTAAACCCTAATACCCAAAAACCCTAAACACTCATATCCTAAACCCGAACACCCTAACACCCCAATGAACGCTGTCGCGCGTACCCTGGCAAACTCTGAGCGGATGCGGAGGGAGCTGTCGCTGGCCGATACTTTGCGTCGGCATTCCGCCTGCAAACCAAAACCTCCGCCTTCGAGTACGGCACAACTTTTAAGGCCAAGCTGGATCCCAAAATCACGCGCTGGGATCCTTCACCCTTTCGGGTTGTCACTTTCTTTTGCCTCTTGCATGTTCTGCTGGCTTTGGGGTTCAGGATTTTTCGGTTTGGGGTTTTAGGGTTTGGGGTTTGCGGTTTAGGGCTTAGGGTTTGGGTTTAGGCTTCGGACTTTCTACTGAAAACGACTGGCTGAGGTGCTGTCTGCTGGCACCTCAACCCAAAAGTCCCTAAACCCTCAACCCAAAAGTCCCTAAACTCCAAACCCTAAACCCTAAACCGAAGTCTGCTTTAGCTTACGTCCTTTTGGTGTCGGTACTACGGTGGTGTAGGGTTGACGCAATAGGGTACGGAGTTACGACGCAAGTGTTTGGCAGAGCGTGTCTTACGGTTGATGATATAAATCCTGCATGACTCATACCATAATTCCCATAGTTTAGGGTGCTTAGGGTAATGCAGGATTTATATCATCAACAGTATTTCGGGTCGTAGAGTTAAGTAATTTGGAGTTTACGGACTCGGACTGGGAATTGGGAAAAAGGGCTATAGGGCTGGATCAGTACTGTAGGGTGCCTTAACACCCTTGAATGTTTCTGTTTTGAACCGGAACCTGCCAAAATGCCTCAACGCCTTGTCCCACGACGATAAACACTCTGCAAAATACGCAATAAGATTCCCTTACTTGATCCATTACAAATTTACCCAGCGGCCTACTTTGACAACGATCTAGAGAGCCACATCCAACCCTACATACCCCAAACCCTTGACAGGTAATGTCGGGGCTTCAATTATTAGAGTAGGGTTTCGGAGTATATACCGTTATACACCAGTATAGTAAGTTAGGGACTAACCGACCAACCCCACATCAACAACTAAACCCTATAAACCCTGAACCCTAAACCCTACACCACCGCAATCCGGACTTTGGAAGCCCCTGGTGCAGAGTTACCGAATTATTCTGCCCCCAGCTCCCTCTGTCCCCTGTTAGGGTTTGGGGTTTAGGGTTTAGGGTTCAAGGTTGAGGGGATCATGGGAATTTGCAAGTGAGTGAGGTCATAAGTACCCTAGTTGGCGTCATTAGGACCCTTACTTATACCTACCTTATTTAAAAGCCGTGCTTACTAAGTCCCATGATCCTCCAAGTAGATGCATGGCAATTAGAGGCCTCAACGACTAGGATAGGCGTCCATTCCAGCATCATGACACAGGGACTATGAAGCATCTTTTCACTAAACCCTAAACCCTAAACCCTAAACCGTCACTAAATACCATTACGGCACCAAGACCAGGAGAGGCATTAGCAGCTTCGACCGCCGGGGCACAGCAAAGGAGGGCGGCGCAAGGCCAGGCGTGCCAGGGACAGAAGGTACCTTGCAACTCACGGCTTGAGGTCAAGTTCGCTGGACAATTCAGAGCCAATCCAGTGCTGATTACGAACCCTTACTAATCCCTAAACCCTAAACCTTAACCTACCCTTGTTGTTAAAACCCTAACTGGTATGAAATGTATAGGAACCCTGCAAAACAAAAGAGACAGGTCGTGGCATGTTAGGGCTAAGGTATGCAAATTA